AAAACCTTCGTGAAAGATTTACTCAGGATGTAGCATTACCCGCAGGTAGTGCCACCAACACTTCTAAACTCTTTGAACTTAACAACTGCTTCGTTTCCTGTGATATTTGCACCCTTGATAATAATTTAAATAACGAATACGTTAAGCATCTTTTAGAAGGCAAAGGATTACCGATTACATACACAACATATATTACTCAATCTCAGTCAGTAGTAGGATTAACTGATATTAGCGTTCCAGTCATTCGCTCCGTTTCAAAACTTGTTGCTTCCTTCATCACTTTTTATAGAGACGATGACCCCAGCCTTGGTTATGAATATGCTAATAAACGCTTTTGTAGGTTTTATCATCCTCATCAAACCCACGATGCCACAGTGGAAGGAATTTACGACATCAACAAAGACTTGGAGTTCCAAATCCAACTAGGTTCTAAATTGTATCCAGAATATCCTTGTAATTCATTAACACAGTGCTTCTATCATTTGAGAAAAGCGTTAAACCTTCCAGTGTTCCATCAACACAGTATTTCAATTGATTTTAAGCAATATCGTGATCGCCAATTTATTTTTGGTTATAGCCTTGAACGCGTTCCAGATAGTTCATATACAGGAATTAATACAAGAGCAGGACAACAGATGCTTATACGCGTGAAGCCTGCGGGAGCAACAATTCCTGCTGATGATATGCCAGATGAGATGTTCATTACCCTATTATCAGAACAGGTGATTGAAATTCGCGACTTGGGGCTCAAGGTGTATGATTAAAAAGGAGTAAAAACGCTTAAAGAATAGTTGTGTATAGTAAGTAGTGATAATGAGCCGTGATTATAAGAACGGGAAAATCTATTGCATTAGAAATAATATAACTGATGATATTTATGTAGGAAGCAGTTGTGAAAAATACTTGTCTAAAAGATGGGTAAAACATAAATCAAGTATGAACAATGAAAGAGATAAAACTATACCATTGTATCAGAAAATGAACGAGTTAGGTGTAGAGAACTTCTACATAGAACTAATTGAGAACTACCCTTGTGAAAATAATGATGAGTTAAGGGCAAGAGAAAAGCATTACATAAGAGAAATGGCAACATTAAACAAGAGAATAGAAACGAGAACTGTTAAAGAATGGAAGGAAGACAATAAAGAACATATACAAGAATGGAAGAAACAACATTATCAAGAGCATAAGGAAGAAATTAATGAAAAGGCGAAGAAATACAGAGAAGAGAACCCTGACAAGGTCAAACAACAAAAGAAAGATTATTACGAACAAAACAAGGACAAAATACAGGCATACGGAAAAGGTTATAGGGAAAATAACCAAGATTTAATAAAAGAGCGGAAGAAAGACTACTATGAAAGAAATAAAGACTATGTAAAAGCCAAATCAAAAGCCTATATAGAAGACAACCAAGAAGCAGATAAACAACGCAAAAAAGACTACTATGAAAGAAATAAGGACAAGCTTATAAAAAACAACAACGAGAGAGCAAAGGAAAAAATAACTTGTGAATGTGGAGAAGTTATATGTAAAGGTAGTATTTCAAGACATATAAAAAGACAAAGACATCAAACATATCTAAACCAACAAAACGAAAATTAAATTAACATTGTTAAATTAATTATCTAAATTAATTTAATAATGGTTCTTACTTTAAACAACACAAATACACTTACAGCAGATAATGTTATTGTCGGTGGAACGGACATTTCACAGTTGTTTGCTTCTAAATCTGAACTGACCAGCATCAACACAGCAAACACAACGGACATAGCAACAAACACCGCAGACATAGCAGTTTTAAACACGAAACAGCTTCAAAACTTTCAGAATATTAGTTCAATAACACATTTATTAAACACAGACTACCAAACAAACGCCACCTTAACGAGCACCTTTTACAATAAAACAGAAATAGACACAACTTTTACGAATTATTATACATCCACACAAATAGACACTAATTTAACTACTAATTATCAAAATAATACATTATTAGCAACAAATTTCTACAATAAAGGCGAGGTGGATACCTTAATAGCGGGAGCGGGAGGAGGCGACACCTATACAACAACGGAAATAGATAACTTGCTTGCTTTAAGAGTTCCGTTAAGTGATTTTACTAATAGATTTAGTGCTAATCCTATTATTGATTGTAGCGCCCCGACCGTTATTCATAGCGGTTTAACGTTAAATAATTCAACAGTAAATATAAGTCCAGTAGCAGGGTTGGTATTTAGTAATCAAACAGGCGGGGGTGATAAAGTTTTAGCAGAGTTTAAAAATGCAACGAGTTATATAACTTTACAAGGAGATAAAATATTTTGTAACAATACATCAGACGATGCTATTAAACAATTAGATTTAACAAATAATAATGCAGGTTATAAAATGTCAGGAAAGATAGAAACACCGGCAGGTGGTCTAGTAGTAGAAAATACAGCAGACGCTAATTTATCTTTTACGGTTCGGAACACTGATAATTATTTTACCTTTAATAATGACAGTATTGATTGTTATAATTCTGTTGATGATACAGGTAGAATATTAAATCTAAATAATAATGCTAATCAATATGTTAAATCACATTCATTATTAGTAGATACAGGAGCAAATACATTAACAGGTGGTTATACACTAGATGTTGTAGATAGTGCTATTGTTAGACAAAATTTAAGAGTAAATGGTTTAATGGAATTTACGGATGCGAACACAACATTAGACAGATATGTAAATGCTACGAAAGTTAATACATCGCTGGATATTAGAACTGATGAAGACGCTTTAAGATTAATGACAGGAACAGCAACAGATGGAGATACTAATACACATTTAGAATGTGATAAAGCAAATAGTAAAACAGTTTTTTATAAAGATACAGATTTTAGAGGTAATTTAGATTTAACAAATTCAACAGGTGATATTCTACTACCTACAGCGGGGTTTGATATGTTTAGAAATAGTGGAGATGCTAATTATAATTTAAGAATTAGGGACACACAAGGAGTATTTGAATTTAAGAACAGAAATTTTAGATGTATGAACCCGAGCAATCCAGCAAACGGAACGGAAATGATTTTACACGACACAGGAGGCGATTATAGATTACGCATTGGAAGCACAACAACAGCAACAGTAGGAATAGGAAGAGCGTATAATTTTTCATATCATTTAACAGTAGGCGGTGTAAGTAATTTTAACGAAACGAGAGTGGAAAATGACGCAACATTTTTAGGACAACAGTTATTAAGCACTGATGGAAGAATATTTCAAAGAGCAGACGTTAATAATTCATTGAATGTAATATCAACAGAAGAAATTAATTTTAGTCTTCAAACTGATAGAACGACCGATCCTACAACAGGAACAATAGCAGTCCAGTTAAATGACACTAACGGAATAACATTAAACAGAGCAGTTACAAATAATCTTACTTTTAATAGCATAGGAAATATCGTTGGTGAAAGCGATGTTGTTAGTTGGGGGCGTTTTATGTTTCAAAATAGTAGCGAATTAAAAGAAGTGTTGGACGGTCAATATAAATTATTTGTTAGAAATGGCGATACATTAGGTGATATTAATTTAACAGTTGGTTTAGAATCATCAACGCCAGAAATTAAAATAACAGATGGTAAAGTTAAGATG